AATAAAATAAACTAACTTGTAAAATATTTCATGCCATGGAAGTGCACTTAAAATTACTAAAGCTGTATCTGTCTTAGGATCATGTCTACAAAATCCAAAGGTCCATTTGGAATCTATACTGGTGAGCACAAATGAAAAATGCTGCACCATTACACTATAATAAATGTAATAATATAATAATATTGCATTATATTATATTTAATATATTAAAATATATTAATTTTATAATTAATTATATCAACATAAATAAATAATTCTTGAAACTTACTTTTCAATTTCACATGGATATGCAAATTTAGGGACAGATTTAAGTATTTCTTCATCTAAAAAAGAAGTTGGATATTTTTGTAATATCCAAGGTGGTTTTTCTCCTAATGGTGCAGCTACTTCACAAAAACATTCAAAAAGATGTTGTACATTGTCCCTAAAAATATCAATATGCTATAATTGTAATTATAATATAAAATAGATTAATTCAATTTTTTAATTGAAATATATTGAATTTTAATTGAAAAACATTTCAACAATATCTTTCAGACAGATGCTATTTTCACTTATTTATGTATTACATGAAATGATTAGTGTAGTAATATAATGAAAATATATAAAAAAAAATAAAATAACATAAAATAAAATATCCATAAAATGATTTTCATTAGAAAAAGTTAAAAGTAAAAAATTTATTTACCTCAATCTGGAACCCATGATAATAGTGAAAAAAAAATAAGTACTTTATATTCTTTTGACGTCTATACGTCATTGTATGTACTACATAACAGTAATGCATTCCATTCACGTAAATTTTAATCACATTGTGTATTTCATTATCACATTTTACATTATTTTTATGAGTAATGTGCTTTTTTCCTTTTTTCTTTTCACTAAAAGCAATGATTTCCACTTATATGTAGTACAAAGTACTGTACCACCTATTATCTTTGACTAGTAAGAATAAGAGCAAGAACATCTTATACTGAAATTACGCCTATCAAATTAATACATACAATTTCCACAATCATGAATATGTCACTTACTAATTTATAAGTATGTTCTTATTTATATCATGTTATATATAAATTTTTTTTAATTAGTGTTTTATAAATAATTTCTCATAATTTATAAAATATGAAAATAAAAATTCTAAATATCCTATCTTAATTTTAAAATAATTTATTTAATTAAAAATATATAATTATATATATCTTAACTTCATTTTTTTTTAATTACATAGATTTATTATAGATTTAAATAGTAATTTATTATCTAGATACTAACCATTGGTCGAATGGATAAGAAAATAACAATTGTGTATTCCTCTCTATATGAATATTATTCTAAGTTAGAAAAATAACGTGGTCAATATACATTAAAACTTCCTTTTATCATGTACGATACTTAAACGTGAAAAAGATATGGCGCTTAACCTGACTGTAAAAGTTCATCCCGTAGTTTTATTTCAAATTGTCGATGCATACGAGCGTCGAAAAGCGGAATCTCATCGTGTTATCGGTACATTGTTAGGTAATTTAAAATTTATCATGCACACAAAAGTATGATATTTATTGTAATGTAAAGTTATTGAATTATAAATTTTGACAGTACTTAAGTTTTTTACTTTATAAGAAAGTTTATTATAAATTAATATCCATAGGTACTGCTGAAAAAGGAATGGTTGAAGTTACAAACTGTTTTTGTGTTCCACACAAAGAATCTGAAAGTCAAGTAGAAGCTGATTTAACATATGGAATTGACTTATACGAACTAAATCATAGAGTTAACGCACAAGAAAATATTGTCGGATGGTGGGCAACCGGAAATGAGGTAATTAACATTTAAAAAAATTTAATTTTATTAAATTTATTCTTTAATGCGAATAAAAATGTTGAAATAATTTTAGGTTACTACTCATTCTTCTGTTATTCATGAATATTATGTTCGTGAATGCAATAATCCTGTTCATTTAACCGTTGATACAACATTAGCAAATACTACTAGAATGGGAATTAAAGCTTATGTATGTGTTCCATTAGGGGTACCTAATGGAAAACAAGGTTCTATGTTCACTCCAGTAAAAGTACAAGTACGTAATTATATACATAATAATATATTATATTTTATAAAATACTCTAAAGTATAAAATTTATCAATAAGAAGTAGAATAACTATTTTTTTTTTTTTTTATTATAGATTACATGTTATGAACCAGAAATTGTTGGATTGCAACTTTGTTCCAAAACTCAATTACCAGCACATGCTCAAATAACTGGTGTAAAAACAGGAGGAGGCATAGAACCAATGATGGATCTTTCTCAGATAGCAGAAGCTAGTGCTAAACTTTCTTCCATGTTGGAACAAGTACTTGCATATGTTGATGATGTGTTAACTGGAAAGCAACCACCAGACAATCAAGTACTTAATTAATCTTAAATTAATAAAAAATTCCTTTTTATATAATTGTTATGAATTATATTATTTTAGGTTGGTCGTGCACTTTTAGATATGGTACATTCAGTGCCTAAAATGTCAAGCGATCAGTTTGATGAGATGTTTAACAGTAATGTAAAAGATTTATTAATGGTCGTTGCATTATCACAATTGATAAAAACGCAACTTCAACTTAACGAAAAACTGACGTTACTCACAACTCTATAAATAGTATGACATAATTCCATAAATTCTATAATACAATTTGTACGAATAATAAACATTTTAAATTTTAAATTCTTATCGTATTTATTTATTTGATAATATAAATTACAATAATATTCATAAATTTTTAAGATTAATATGAAAAATAAAAAATAGAAAATAAATAAAATTGTTCGCATTTTATATATGTCATATATATGTTCTTTTAATTACAAAAAAAAATATATAAATTTATTGAATTAGGCAATGTTTTAAGTTTCCAAAATGATTAATTCGTCTCTTTGATTATCTATCAAATTGACCCAATCTGGAACTCTATCAGATTTCAAATAATTTTCTTTTGTTAAACATCTTAATGGTAAATCTACAGTTCCAAAGATAGCACCACCTAACCATGCAGTATAATTTGGTTTGCTAGGTGCAGTATGAAACATGAATTTTTGAATTTTTAATTTTTCAGAATAAAGATCACTCCTTACAAGATTTAAAAGCTCAGATTTAAGACGACTTGCAAATCCTTTTGTCATTGTTGTGCCACCAATTAAGAGTATATTTTCTGCTAAGACTCGTCTAACATCTATTGGACACTGTAATAAAAATACATTTTCTAAAACTAGATTTTTTCATTCATCAAAATATATCAGAAATATACCTGCATAATGGCATTTAAAATCATTGTAGGTAGACTAAGATTATCATTATCCCTTTCCCATAATATTTCAAATGCTTTTTCTCTAACTTCACCAGGAATATCAATACTTTTAACTCCAGGATATTTAACAAATGGAGGAGGATTGGGAGCCTCTGTTGTTCCTAATTTAACAGATCTTTCCAATGTAGTAACAAAACATGTTCTTACTTTTATATCTTCTACCATTTTTTCTGTGACATCTACATTAGGATACAATTCTTTTAGAGATTTCATCAAATATCTATTATAAAAATGTAAAAGTTACTAAATAAATCATATTAATATAAAATTAATAAGATATATATTATAAATTAGTTAACTGACTCATGTACAACTTGGCCACCTAAAGGAAGAGCTTGCCATGCTTTTAGAATTGGTTCACCCTCAAAAATTGGAATTAATGTAGCTTCTTTATAACCAACATCCAAAACTAAAGCTGAATTGATACCCAAAGTACTAATAGTTGCTAAATGGGTAGGTAATAACATTAAGGATCCGATTTCAAAGTGCCTAAATAATACTTTAGCTAATGTATTTCTAAATTGTGTAGGAGATAATAAAGATTCCAAAACGACAATTCTCGCATCCTTTGGACTTAATACAACATGTCTGCATCAAAAGATATAATATTAATACAAAATAAAATAAAATATACGCTTAAATATATGATTTGTACCTGAAAAATAAAGCATGAAGAAATTCGACTAGTAATTGATATAAATCCTCTGTGTTTTTGTAATCGTAAATTTTTCGAAGCTCTTTAGTTTCTGGACATTTAATTTCTGTTCTTATTATACCACGTGGAGTAGGCTCGCCCGCATAACCAAATCTATTTTCAAATTACATGTCAATATATTATGATAGTAAAATTTTTTTGTAAAAATAAATACACATACTTTGTGTATGCACTACCAATATCAAATATCACCATTTGCTTATTCGAAAGAAATCGAACACCTTCGTAGCTTCGAAGCATTTTAACAGATCCTTTTTTTCTGATATCACAAAGAATATAACCTAAAAATATAAAAGTTGATGCAGTGCTTGATTAAAAATGATACAGAAATGTATGAGAAGAGATAGATATATTTCTGAGAATTATTAGCAATTTTTTCTCGATTTTATTCGTTTTCTTAACTTAGGAAAAAAAGAAAGAAAAATATTTTTTACGAATGAAATAAAAAAAAGTGTACATGTTTTATTTCATAATATATGTCTGAAGTTTCTAAAGATATATGCACATCTCTAAAACTAGAAATTTTTCAGTTTTTGTTAAATATCCAGTTTCTAAAAATTAATGGAAATAACTTCATGACAGTTGAATGGATAGAAAGTATAATGATTATTATTATACTTACATTTAATATAGTATGATCTTTTATTGAATATCAATTATATTCAGAATAAAAATAAATAAAAATGATAAAATTTATATATATATTAATATAGTATCTTCTAATTTTTAAAGAAGTTACAATATTGATAAAATATTAAAAAATATGAGTCATACCATGAAATCCCAATAAAAGAGATCATTATTTCAATTAATATAAGTATTAATATATAATTGTATCAAGAAAATAACATTATTTTTATAATATTATGTTTTAGGAAAAATTTTTATATAAAATTTAAGAAAAATATAAAGTATTGATTCATAATGACAAATTTTATTTATCTATAAAATACAGAAAATGCATATAGTTAAACAATCATTTCAAGCTCTCTTGCATAATCAATTGCTAACGTGGCCAAGTCTGCACTGGGAATTGGTTCTTCAGTTTTCTTTTCACTTGTTGTATTAAAATAAAAATAACCATCTTTTGCTAAATTCCAGTTTTTTTTTACTGCAAATACTTTCATATCTTCCTCTGAATTTAAATTCAGCATTCTTGAAGCATCTTGAATAGAAATCTTATCATATGCACTTTCCATACATGCTCCAATTTCATCCCGAACAGTGTTCAATAAAATATCAATGAAAAAATTATATGATGCTGCTGGTACATTACCTTTTGCTAAAAATATTTTGTTATATGAACCTTCCATTAAATATTGTTCTAAGCTTAGAGGATGTCTAATATAAACATTGGATTGTATTTGATCAGAAGGTAATAGTTCTAATTCTGTATGAAATTCAGCCACACGATTTTGAGATAATAAGAATAAAAGATTTAATCCAAGAAGATGATATTTATATGCAGATTCCATTAATCCAGATTTATAATCAAAATAATAACATTTTAATTGTGCCATATAACGTTCAAAAGAAGGTATATCTTCAGTTACTATACTCCACTGTGCACCAATTTCTAAAATATCACCTGCAATTATAAGTTTATACATATAATAATAATAATAATGTTTTAGAAAATTTTCGTTTAAAAATTATATGTTAATATTTACGAGCTATAAGCAATTCATTTTGACTTGCTGTATTATTAGATGTTGGAAGAAACATCAAATGTGTAAGACCAACCTGCAAAAAGTAATTGTTTAATAATTAATCAATATATGAAGTAGTTGATATAATGACAATCCATTTTTGACAGGCTATGAAAATAAGGTTATATGTTGTTCACAATGTCAAAAATGTTTTAAATAATAGGAAAGTAAAAATTTATTTTTTAAATCACCTTCAATTGATTGAGCAATTCGCCACATTTTTTTAAATTACATGGTGTCGCTGCCCATTCTTCTTTTAAATTTTTGTACACTGGAACAACATCTTTCAATGCTGCCATTTTTTAGATTATGATCATATAATATAGGTATATGATCATATAATATAGATATACAACATTAAAAAAATAAAAGTTACATGAAACATAAAAATATAAATTACACGAAAACAAATTACATAAAATTTTTAATTATAAATAAAATATAATAACAAAAAATTTTATAAACTGAATGTACAGAATAAATTTAGGTATATAATTACTATTTTATATAATTAAAAAATCAGCATTAAATTATTAACACTTATAAAATTGTTAGAACATTTAAGAAAATATTTAATAAGCAAATTGATTATAAGTATTATTCGATATATATAAAATTGTTAATATGAAGTATAAATTTTTATTGATTAGCCAATCGAAATAATATATTTATCCATTGCATTTGATTATCATTAATTTTATATTTTATACTTTTATTATAAAGAAATTTCTAATAATTATCAAATCAAGCTGTTAATATTTTTATTCTATTTTTAAAATTTGAACTTTATTAAAAAATTTTAAGATATTTCATGAAAGTAAAAGATGAATGCATTGTGGCTACGTCTTAAGGACATATCTATTACGTGTAGGGATTTCATGTACTTGAGAAAAACGATCTTTACCGGCCTTCAACTTCCTCTTCCCGTAACTGGATATAATGGCGTCTGGAGTAAGTTTTTCTCTTGCAATTTGAACTATTAAACATCGTCATTATGATAAATAAATAGAAACATAAATATTAGCAGAAATGAAATTTAATATAGAAATCAACTAATGGAGCCTCGATTTATTTCAGACACTTTACACGTATCCGGAAAACTTCAGAGCTTACAAAGTGCTTATTGCAGCTCAGTATTCCGGTGCTCAAATTAAGATTGCAGATGATTTCGTTTTTGGAGAAACAAATAAAACTGAAGCATTTTTAAAGAAATTCCCATTAGGCAAGGTAGAATTATTTCTAATTTTTTTTATTTTCGTTCTTTATCTATGTTATGTCTTTCTTAAAGAACCAGCTGGTATATTTTTTATGGAAAAAAACAAGTAATTTGTATTAAATTGAGAAAAGAATAGAGTATAAATTTTCATATCCTTTTTTTATATGAATAATTGAATTATTTTCTTTATTTTTTTTTGTTTTTAATTGTCTTTTAAAAGTTTAAAATAATACATCATTTTTTTTTTATGTTTAGGTACCAGCATTTGAAACATGTGATGGAAAGTATATCACAGAAAGCAATGCAATTGCTTATTATGGTAAGAATCGTGATTATATGATATTTAAATAATTGAAGTTGTATAATGTATAATAAAAATTTTTTATTTTTTATAGTGGCTAATGATCAATTAAAAGGCAAAACTGATCTTGAACGTGCAGAAATCATTCAATGGTTTGGTTTTGCAGATTCTGAAATTCTTCCAGCTAGTTGTGCATGGGTGTTCCCATTGCTCGGAATTATGCCATATAATAAACAGGTACAAATAAAATTATTTTTATAAATTCTCCTTTAAAAGGCAAAAATAATTTAATATTCTAATCATTTTTGTAACTCAAGGAGATATATAAATATTAGCACATTATATAAAATACATATTATTTTTATATATGTATTAAATAACATGCATACAAATATAAGTTTTCATATAGTTTATGAAATCAAAAATAAATCATTTTATGATTTAAAATTATAGAATGTAGAGCATGCTAAAGATGATGTAAAAAAAGCATTGACTGCCCTCAATTCTCATTTACTTACACGTACTTACTTGGTTGGAGAACGATTGACATTAGCAGATATTAGTGTAGCCATGACATTACTTCATTTATATCAATATATTCTGGAACCAAATTTACGTAAACCATATCAAAATGTAAATCGATGGTTTCAAACAGTCATTTATCAACCTGAGTCAATGGCTGTAATTGGTGCCTTTAAATTGGCTGAGAAAACTCTTGAATATGATCCAAAAAAATTTGCAGAAACTCAAGGAAAAGTGAGTATTTTTTTTTTTTTTTTTAAAATAAAAATATTTTCAAAAAGTGTTATTTGATATTATAATGAATTATAACATTTATAGTCTTCAAAGAAAGAGAAAAAAGAAAAAGAATCTAAAAAAGAATCAAAGGAAATAAAGGAATCTAAAAAGGAAACCATTGAAGATTTAGATCCAGCAGATGCTGCTTTAGCTGCTGAACCTAAAACTACAAATCCTTTTGATACATTACCTAAAGGTAATTTCGATCTTGATGATTTTAAAAGATTTTATTCTAATGAAGATGAGGTGAAGTCCATACCTTATTTTTGGCAAAAATTCGATCCGGAACATTATAGTATTTGGCTTGGAGAATATAAATATAACAATGAACTAACAAAGGTAATATAAAAATGTTTAAATAAGAATAATATAACATTATATATCTATCATGTCTGAATATAAATATAAGTTCATGTTATTTATACATATTTTATGTATTTTTCATAGGTTTTTATGTCTTGCAACCTTATAAGTGGAATGTATCAACGATTAGATAAGATGCGAAAAGGTGCATTTGCCAGTGCTTGTCTGTTTGGTACAGATAATGACAGTAGCATCAGTGGTATTTGGGTTTGGCGAGGACAAGAGCTTGCTTTCACGGTTAGTTCTTTTAATTTTTTTTAATATCTGTTATATTATATATATATATATTATTTTTTTTTAAATATTTATTATACTTTAATAATTTAAATAAATAACAATAGTATTTTTTTTTAAACAGTTATGCCCAGATTGGCAGGTAGATTATGAATCATACAGTTGGACTAAATTAGATCCAGCTAAAGAAGAAACAAAACAATTGGTTCAACAATACTTTAGCTGGACCGGAACCGATAAAGAAGGACGTAAATTTAATCAGGGAAAAATTTTCAAGTAAAAATTTGCCATATGCTTATTATTAAACAGAACACTTCGTTCACATGAAATAAACGTAAAAAACTGATAAAATATTATCAAATTTTACATGCAAACCCTTAGAATCCTGTACTGAAATAGGGTGATTTTCAAAAAAGAACAATGTTCCTTCCCATAGATTTCTACTGTCTAACTTGATGCTTTTATTGTTTAAGTTTATGTCGCGTTTAAAATATTATTCTAAAATTAGTTTTAATGCACGTTTTCCAGTATTTGGATTTATTTTAGTATAATATGAACATTGCTAATTTTTAATGAAATATTGATAAATGACATAATATTTACTTTAGCATATATATTCGTAGAAATTTTTCTTTGATATAGTTGCGTTAAATTATTTAATTTATAAATTGTTTTAATATGTATATCATAAACAAAAATAATTTATTAGAATTAAGAAGTTATCTTATTCATTTGTTATTGTTTAATAAAAAAGCATATAGCATGATTTTTGATAGAAACAGAAAATTATAAATACATTTAGCACTTAAGTATGCTGCTACACGTACTATAATTCATCTTCCATATACTAATTTGTGTGAACTATAGTTTTAAATATAATGCATATTTTTACAAAAATGAAGTTGTTGATTTTTCAATTACTATGATAAATTTCTACATTTCACACACATTATATGAGTATTTATATAACAACAAATATTCTGAATCAAAAAATATAATTATTTTCATTATTTATTTTCGAGTTTTAATAAATAATTATAATAAAATGTTCTCTTTATATTTACAAAAAGTATTACATTATAAGATTTTATATTATCTAAAATCCTTTTTCATTCATCCATACTTTAATGAGATTTACATAATCTCCTCTGAATTGAATTTCACCAGATAGTTCATTAGTACGAACACCAACAGGTTTTTTTACATTTTTTTCTAAATATTCCTTTAATTCAGTTTCTAATATCCAGATATTTCCATGAATTTTACGAACAGTAGTTATTCTTCGTAACCCTCGATGAAAAATTTCAAGATAGACAGGTTGCATATAGTTTTTTGTACGTTGTATATAATAAGGATATTCTTGTGGTTTAGCTATTAAATAATATTGAAAAATTATAAATTTTATTATAAATGTTAAATTGTGAATATATGAATAAACATGAAATAAAGTAACTTACAAACTGGTGGTTTCCATCCGGATGGATATTCTTTATTTTCTAAGGAAGGTATAGGTATAGATTTTGATTTAAATAAACGTTCTACATATTCCCATTCTTGAGGATCTTTTGTTACTTCATAATCCGTAAATTTGGAAGATTCAGTATATTGAGGTGAAGTTTTATACTTTCCCCATCTTTTCTATACATAATGTAAAAATATATTAAAAATATAAGAATTCTTAAAATAAAATTCGAATTAAAATTAAAATATATAATATTTATTAAAGAAAGTCAATTTTTTTAATAATTTATAATTTTTTAAATTTAATAATTTACTTATTGCCGTTGTATTTGGGTTATATAAATATTTGTAGGTTATTGTATAAAATTAAATAAATATGAATTTTTCTTTTTTCAAGAAAATTTAAATATAAAATTTTAATAAATACATTTAAATTTTTTCTATAATTATTATTAGACTATCATGACGAATATCAATTTTATTTTTATTTTTTCAACTTTAACAATTATTCAAAAATTTTTTTTTTATACATCTATCAATCTAACGTATTTCTACCAATTGCTAATAATTGATGAAACATTTTATAAATTCAAAAATACGTTCATTTATACACGAATATTTAACACGAAAAAAATAAATAAATTTTTCAAAAAACCAAAATTAAATAAAAATTAAAGACGTGAATACCTCGGATGATTTCGCTAGCGTGGCCCTTCGTTACTTTATCTTAAAATTAATCATTATAGAAATGTATAAAAACTTTTTGTCGCTCATTATAAGATTATGAAAAATAAAATATATTGATGTAAAATACCTGCGTAATAATCGGTATATCTCTATTCAATGAAATATATTCGTCACAAGAACAAAGAATTATATTTGAAAGTTTCGAACGTGTGAAACACCGAAGGGCAGCCATTTTGACTTCAGTAAATAAGGGTCGGTGGCCGCCATTGGTGCGCACGGGCGCGTCTTCCTTTTCGTTCTCGTGCCAGATCGAGTTTTTCCTTGTGACGCGCCTCTATTTGTAACGTTTTTCGTTTTGAAGAGAAACTTCACTACACTCGTTTACGATCCCAATCGACGAACGTGTCATTAAGTGACGCTGATAACGTAAAATTCGACAAATAACGCGGGGTTAGTTATTGCAAATATTGTATAGAGAGATTTCGAAGTGCCGCGTTGTTCCAAATTTCGCTAGAAGATAATCGGGATAAAATTGAGCTTTCTCAGGCTATTTTTTGTCTCGTCAGTAAGTACAAGTTTCTCGTGAAGTAAACATATCATAGATAACGGTTCGTGTAAAGCGACAGGGGTTGAATTAGTTAAAATAACGCGATGAATTAGTGCGAACGGACTATGGACCTGGGAGAGGTCGTGTGTTCTACCGTCAGGTGGCGGTAGCCTCAAAACAGTGGGACATCGTACAGACACCCTGCAACGGGACTGTGTTTTTCACAGAATTGTTTTCCGCGTTTTCCCGCAAAAATTACGTTCTCTGACGGTGATTTTTTGTCTCAGAGGTAAGTACAATCGATGAATCGAGTATTGAAATCATAAATTGTTTCAATAACCTTAAGCTAAGTATATAGAAAACTTTGGAAATCTCGAATCGAGTCCGACCTTTTGTTTATTCGTGGCGATTTTTTCGCGATGATTTCTTGCATGATTTTCGATAGTTCTTGCTTGCTTAAGCCCCGATTTTCATCTTAGGAAGTTAATGTGTGACACGTTCTTTCCTTCGAAATTAAATTTTACACGATTGAAAATGTGATTGCCGAGATATCGCGATAAATATTTCAAAGTGATTTCTTGACCGAAAAGAGGCGCTCCGTGTATCCGTGTAAATGCAAAGTTTGTCACGTAATTTTTCTGACCGCCAGGGCCGCATCTATCAACCCCACTATCCGGCCGGCCGCTCACCTACTCACACCTAAGACGAATTATGTAGTTTTTCCATTTGGTATACAGTCAATTTGTTCCTGTCTCGTTTAAAAGAGGAAAGGTATATTTTCTTCATTTATAATTTAATGGTTTTATATAATATGTATATTTTTCGAAAAACTTAGGGAGTTATCTCTTAATGATGATATTTAACATTTGAAATATTTTTCCACATATATATGAGAATAAATATATTATAATCTTTCAGAATATAATACGCGATGAATGATAAATTTAATTTGTTTCTTCACTTTTTAAAAGTATTAATTTTAATATATAATATTATTAATTTGTAATATATTTAAAAATTGTCAAATTAATTTAAATGCTATAACGGTAATAATAATTATCATTTAATCAATAAGCAGCTTGCAATTTCACGTTATAAATGAAATTGCAGGAGCCCAATGTGGGTGGAAGTGAGATGGCATCCAGGGAAAAGAAACCCTTAGTGCCTTCAAAAGCAAAACAGAAGGCGAATAATGATTGTAGCTTGCCATCAAACGAAATTAAAAGTAGAAAAGGCAAGTCCTTGTCAAATCTGAAACAACAGCAACTTGCACGAGATATATTGGAGGCTGTAGCAACTGGTAGTCAACTTCCTCCAAAATTAGAGGCAAGCCTACCGCGTAAAAAGGTTCTTAGGAATCTGAAACATAAGCAAAAGTTAAAAGTAGCAAAAGCAAATTTAATTAAATCAAAGGTTACAAGGAAAGTAGCCAATAGAAATTTGTGTAGAATACCTTCTGACATTAAAAGGAGCGTGAGGGCTAAAAGAATCAAATTATCCGAAGAGAATAGTAGCAAGGCATCATCTAACAAAAGCTTAGAGCATCAAATAAACGAAACAGAAGGTGAAAGTATAGGAGCAGAAGGTAATAGAAGTGCCAAGAATAATCTCAGGACTAAAAAGACCAAGTTTATATTAAAAAATATCGGAGAAGTGGAAAGTGAGGATATTTTAGATAGAGATTCAGATTCAGTTAGCGCTGGTTGCAGTACCAAGAGTAGTCCAAAGCTTAATAGGAAGGGCAGAAGCTTGGAAAGTTTAGATTCTTTGCCTAGAGGTGTTAAATCAACAAAATTTTCAGGATTTAAAAGGAATAGTATCAAAGAGAAAGATACTTTAATAAAGTCAGAAGTTGATATTAAATATTCAAAAGGGAGGAAGGCTACTAGAGATATAGATTGTAGTAACACAAGAGTTTCAAAGTCCCTTTTGGACGGCAAAAGTTCTATAGATCTTACCATTGACGAAGTGATAGCTTCAATGTTGAGCGATACAGAAATAGACAATCAACAGGGAATAACAGAAAAAATAGAAGGAAAATTAACAAGAAGTAAGAAGATGTTGGTAGAAGAGAGTATAGTTTCAGATATTGAGATAAAAAAAGAGCCAGACAGCGAAGACATTAAAATTATTTCCGATGGGGAGAATTTTGAGACAGAATCCATTCAAAATGCAATTCATTTGAGGAAAAGGTCGAATGCAAACACCATCAATCAAAGAAGTTTAAGGAATGGTAAGCTAAGGCAGTCGGATTCCGTGATTTCCGATTTAGAGCTTAAAAAGCGTCGACGATTAAATTCGGATGATCCGATTAGTTCAGAAGTTTCTGCGGACAATAATCTTGCGGATAATAATATCGATTCTGAATCTAGTTTTTCTGAATCTAGCGGCAATGATTCTCAAACAATTGTAATACCAGTTAAAGACGAATTGTGCATGAAACAAGAAGCGTTGAAAAATTTTGAGGACAATTCCCAAATTGGATCAGAAATGGAGAATAATAACAACAGCGATAGAGGGGACAGGGCTAGCGAGATCGGACCCACCCTTCGCTCGAAGACCAAGGCGAAAAGTACCGAGGTCGAGGTGACAAAAAATGACAATATAAAAATTGAATATACGAGAATAATACCCAAGAATATGGAGGTGCAAGAAGAATTGAAAAAGATGGGAAATTTAGACCAGGTTAGAAAAGATAATATTTTGGCGAAACTGTCTGACAAGTCTAAGGGCCGAAGAAGTAGTTTAAACATAGATATGAAGAAGACGGTTAATTCGTTTTATAATACGGACAAATCGGACGGTAATCCCAAGTCCCAGATAGATCAAATGATAGAAAATATCAAGCTTACCATCGCCAAATCTATCGAGAGTAAAATCTTTGGCCCGGAAAAGGGCCTTGGATTGAACAAAAATTTCGAGATACCAAAAATTGAAGAGATAATTGCACCGTTGAGCGCCGAGTCCCAAAAATTAGGGCTGGACGAAAATACGGACGAGGATAAGTCTGCCGCGACAAAGAATGAGATGAAATCGGATAATTCGGATAATTCAATACCAAAAGTGGCCGATACTGCCAAAGAAATTGAGAAACTAGTCATGGGTGATATTGAATTAGCTGAAACTCATTCTCAAAACGTGCAAGAAAGCGAGTCTTCTGATGCTGATGCGAATAGCAACACTCACAACGTTTCTGAAGTGGTCAATATCATAGAGAACGAGGACGGTAGTTGCAAAATTGTGGTGCAAGAGGGGGAGCCGAACGAAACGTCCAATTTAATGGAGGAGATTGATAAGAGCACCGAGGTGGATGATCAGATAAAAGTTCAGACGATGGGAAGAAACTTACGTCTATTAGAAAATCATCAAGGATAATAGACAAAGCTGCTCCCGAGAGCAATGACGCTGTTAAAAAATTAGGAAAAGCGATGAACAAAGTAGCTCACAAGCTCGAGAACAGTGAAGAATCTTTACAGGAGTCTGATAAATCTATTTCTAAGGAGCCTATTTTTTCGAGCAAGGAGTCGTTTAAAAACGAATCGGCGGAGAGCAAAACAACTGCCCCTGAATTTCCAGTTGATTCCAGCGCGGTGGCCGAATCGAAGCAAGAGGAAATTAAAACGGAAGATACGACAAAGGTGGATAAGACGGTCGAAGATGGAGCCAAGATTTCCACGAATACGGGATCCGATGACGTGGAAACTTTAGAGAGAATTTCGAAAGAAGTGGAAAGAATGGTAGCAGAGGATGATGAGTCTGGGCATCGGTCGCAAACCAGCGCAGATGAGCCGCAAAACGATCAAGAATCTGCAACGATTAAAACTGCGACAGAGTCTTCTTCTTCTTCTTCTTCTTCTTCTTCTTCGTTGTCTGATGAGTTAGCTGATGTAGCAACGGATACCGAGAATCGAGAAACAAATGCTAGCAGTGAATTGGAAAATAAGGATGAGCGAGACAAATGCGAGAAGGTGGTAGAAAAAGGTGCCAAAGAAGTTGAAAAAAAAGAGGAAACCGTGCCAGAAATTGTTAAAAAGAGTAGAAATGATTGTGAGCTTAATTTCGATTCCACGTCGAATTCTAAATGTAACTCTGTTTCCAACGGTAATCTTCTTCAAGAAGATTTGAAAAAAGACTCGAACGAGAATGAAAAGGAAGATAAACTTAAACAAGAAAACGACAGCAATAACGACTCGATACAATTGTGCGACAACGGTAACGAAATTTATAACAATTTGGAGAGTGATATAACGTTGACAAAAGAGGATAAAAAAACATCGGATGATGGTGTGGAAGAACAAAAATCTATCAAAGATGATACTAAGAAACGGGTATTACGAGCGCGCGATAAAACGAAAGGAAAGTTTGAAAAGGGACAAGGGTCGTGCAAGGAAAAAGAAACCGTTACGAAAGTGAAAATGGAAGAAGAAGAAAAGGCACAAAACTCTAGCAGAGAGGAAGAGGATTCGAAGGATTTGGAGGAAAAAGTTCAAGAATCGATGACGGAGGACACGGACGATACTCAAAATAGCGGTGAAATAGACACGAATGACGTGGAACCTCAGGCTCGTACGAAACGCGGCAGAGAGGCAAAGAAACGTAAGGAGGATCAATTAAATATGTTGAAGAATAAACGAGCAAAACGTGAGATTCGGAGATGCGATCAGCAAAATAAAGAGGAGACTCTTTTGGACAACGAGGTAGCGAAGATTAACGAGAACAATCGATCGTTTTTAAACAAATATGAGAATGGTGGAGTGGAATGCGCGACAAATTTCAGAGGTTTCTCCGAAGGTGGAAGAGATAGCTTGGAGAAGCATGAGGAAACCGCGGACAATGTTAGAAGTAAATCGGAGAATGATTTGATTATGGCGAAAGAAAACGGTAGGAAAACGTGCGAGAACAGATTGTCGAGAAATTTGTCTGAGAACCACGTGACTAAAGAGGTGGAAAATATAGACATACTGGATGTCGATTGTAAACCTATAAAAACGCCAGAAACGTCGCAGAAAGACTCTGACGAGACGTCCACTTCTGGCGAATCTTCGAGCAGTGTCAATATTACTCCAAAGATTTTGGAGACGCCTGAGGATAAGGCGAAGAAAGAGTCAATTTTGAGATTACTTGGTTTGGAATCTCTGGAAAAGGCTGCTGAGAGGTTGAATCATCAAAAGGCGAAGAAAGGACAATCCACGGGTACCTTAAAAACCGTGATTCGTGTCCAGAAAGAAAGGGAGAAGGACAAAAGACGATCGAGATCGCCACTAAAAATGGTACTGAAACAGGGTCGGGGAGATGGTGAAGGAGACTCGCCAGAAAATTTCTACACTATTCAAAAGGAGGTGAGTTTAAAAAAAATTATATATTTATAATTTGTAATTATACGTTAAATATAATGAAACTTTATTATATTTATTTATCGTTTTGCTCTTTGTTTTTTCCAGTTAGGAACCAGTGGTTGGGGAGATAGCAGCTCTGGTGCGAACCGAAAGTTCTCTACTAACCACAGACACTCTTGCGGTAATCCTGGTTGCGGGAATAACTACATTCTTAATCATTCCTTGTCCTTCTGCTTTGTTGAAATATATTTGTTCTTGGTTCATATACAAATTCTATCATTTTAGAAATTATTATGAAAAGAATCGCTTGATATTTATTTTTAATGGATTGGTCTTTATTATTTACTGTGATATTATAATTCTATCAATTGCCAATTCTATATAGTAGTAGTACTTCACTAATTCAGTCAGATCTGCAAAACTTTATCTAGATCTAGGTAATACTTTCAAGAATTATTATCTTTCAAATAATAATTTATTTTCCTATTTTTCTTGAGAGAGAAATATCAAAAGTATTGAGTGTAAACGTAAAATAGGGAAAAAGTTTCTTTATATTAAATATTATTTTTACTAATTACTTTATACTTACTAAGTCACTTTTATGTATGATTTTTCAATTCTTATTAAAAAAAAAAAAACATAAATAATTTAATTATAGTATATTTATAAATTAAAAAATATATATTCGTTGCTAACTAATGCGATTTTCTTATATTATTATCATCATATTGCATCAAAATAATCTCAGAAATTAATAAGAATTACACTATAAATAAATAGTTACGGAGACAAAGTGCGATAGTTAGCGAGACACTAATATATTACATTTAATATTCAATAATTTAATTTTCGAATTTCCTAAAAAAAAAAATCCCGCAAACTGTACTCGTAATAACTATACAATTTTCCATAACAAGCATGTTATTTTATGCTACCGCTTTGAACATCAATTACATTTACCCTCTAACCTTCCAATTTATTTTTTAATTAAATTTTACTTCATTTTATCGAGATAGCATTAAAATTTATTAAAACATCAATTTTTTTTTTTTTAGACTTTGTAATAATTATAGATAATTTATTGTTTTCTCACAACAGACGAAGATAATGAAGATACAGCACCAAAGGATCGTCAGTCTCTTGTTATTCCAGAAAAATCCTCTTCTTTTTCCATTCATCCAGGACGCTTGTGTGCGGACGTATGTTGTTATTGCTTTGGGAAATTCGGTTCTTTAGATACACCGATGCATCTTGCTCAAATGAAATCTGATGAAAGACGCAAAAAGATTTTAAACATAGAAAGACATTTAACTAAGGATTCTTGTTTATGCGATGCTTGTTACCGCCACGTGGATAGAAAGGTTGGAGAAAATTTTCAATATTATATACTTGTTTTAAAATAATAAATATTTTATTAATTTTATTATTATTAAAATTTTCCTAATATATCAGGCGAACACAAGTCCAACAAATATGCAAACAAAGCCGCAAAAACAACACCGACAACTCATGGTATCCAAGTGTTCGGCCCGTGATTGTAGAGATGCTGCACGACATCATGTCAAACGTCGATGGTTGCTCAAGATAAAAGCTGGCCTGCAAAAACAGGTAACTTTATATAGGATGATGCGAAAATAATTTAAAAATTCAATACTTTTTTCAATATTGTACACCATAAGATCTTGCATTATTACTTTTAATATGAATAGTTGATGTGACAATAAAAATAATTTTAGGTGGACATTGATTGGGAATCAAGTCAACATACATCCATGTCATTCTGCGTCAGTCATTATTCGAAAATCGAAAGATTCTTGACTTGTGCATTGTGTAAACGCCGATTAGCGAGAAATCATACTCACCAATTGGCGAATGCGGAAACTGACGAGTTGAATCAGTTGCTTGGACAACAGGGGATCCCTGTTATATTGTCGGCCGGTACTTTTGTTTGTAAATTGTGCCGTTACTTTACACAATTACAACTGAAATACAAAGACGTGGAAAACATGAACACGAATCATAAATCATTCTTCAAGAATTATCGAAAAAGGTATAGTTTCTTTAGTTATATTAAAAGATCTATTTTTTGATTAATATTTTTTTTTATTTATTATTCTTTTTATATATATATATATATATATATATATATATATATATA